ACAAAAAAATTCAGCCAAAAACTCAATCGGGAAGGTCGTCATTTGGATAAACTAGACTTGATGGAGAACATGCCATAAAAATTTCATCAAAAAATTCCACCGGGAAGGCGGCCAAACGCCGCCGGCCGGACGGCGGCTCCTGTCCGGACGTCTGGATAGGAGCATTCCTCTATATATATATATATATATATATATATATATATATATATACAACTTTTCATGTCCATCCGGCCTGACGGGAACCGCCGTCCGGCCGAGGGCATTTCGGGCACTTCCCGATGGTATTTTTTGATGAAATTTTTTTAGCATGTTCTTCATGAAGTCTAGTTTATCCATACCAAATTTCAGCTCAAAATTCGATCGGGAAGGTCGTCAAATGATTTTTGCAAGTTAACTGGTCTGGAAAATACATATTCCGGACCAGTTAACTTGCAAAAATCATTTGACAACCTTCCCGATCGAATTTTGAGCTGAAATTTGGTATGGACAAACTAGACTTGACGAGGAACATGCTCAAAAAATTTCATCAAAAAATTCCACCGGGAAGGTGCCCAAACGGGCTCGGCCGGACGGGGCAGCCCGTCAGGCCGGCCTGACATGAAGAGCACTCTATATATATATATATATATATATATATATATATATATATATATATATATATATATATATATATATATATATACTCCCTCCGTCCCTATTTTATCTCCCATTTCGGCTGGGCACACTAATTAAGATAGTGAGATTTGTGTGGTGGAGAGTTGTGCAGAGGAGAGAGGAATGTGTAAGAATGTGTAAGAATGATTGTAAACCACAAATTCTTTGTTAAAAAGGGAAAGATGAGATAATTTTGGGACGGATGAAAAAGGAAAGATTGAAGATAATTCAGGGACGGAGGGAGTATATATGTATGTATGTATGTATGTATGTATGTATGTATGTATGTATGTATGTATGTATGTATGTATGTATGTATGTATGTATGTATGTATGTATGTATGTATGTATGTATGTATGTATGTATGTATGTATGTATGTATGTATGTGTGTGTGTGTGTGTATATATGTATGTATATATATATATATATATATATATATATATATATATATATATATATATATATATATATATATATATATATATATATATATATATATAGCGCCTTGTCAAGATGATCTCCACACCATCCCGTCTTTAGATATTTCGGATATGTTTGGATTATTATTTTTGAAATGAATCCGCTAATATAACTTTTTTCTATGAACTTTCCGGTGACAAGGATTGCTGCAAACAAAAAAAGAGAGATGAATTAGATGCATGTCGTCTTGTTGAGTCGCAACTCTTGGTATTTTTTTATTATAATTTTTCAGGCATTTTTGAAAATCAGAATTACTGTTCATCGTCTTTATTCGGCAAATTCTAACAGCGTCAAGCGCCAGGACCCTCTTGTGATAACGTAGTTTAAACACATTATCCATTTTGTTAAAAAATGAAATTCATGATTCTATCCGAAAACGGTCCAACCACATTCAAAGGTGAAACTAAAGGTTAGATACTTAGATGAGATGTTCATATTTTTGTAATAAAATGCTTATCCGGTCAAGCCACCCTAAAATTGGTCAATTGAAACTATAAATGTAGGCCAGGTCTGAGTTCCAAGGAATTGAAGAAGATGTCAATGCTAATTATGAGCCCATTTGTTAGCACAAAAATCAGTTGTTTTGGTTGATTCTGCTGAAATTTCTGAAGTTCTGGCTGAAGTGGCTGCATCGGCTGATTCTACTAATTTAAAAAACAATTATTTTTAAAATATATTTTATTGATAAAATAAAGAAAAAAACATATGTAAAAATAGCTAAAATGGTCATCTATAGTAACTTCAGCCATAACAGCCAGAAAAGTAACTCCAACCTACTTTTTCTGCTTATTACACAACTCAGCGCGCGAAAGTAAAATTTACGTGTTTGGTGAAAAAGTTAGCTGATAAGCTGAAAAACAGTACTGCCAAACGGCCTCTATAAATAGCGCTGTCAAGAGTAAAATTGCGATTGACAATTTGACATGAAAAAAAAACCATTCATAAATTTCATATAAACTTTTACATAAAAAAATATAATTGTGCATGAAACTAAATGAAATTGGGGTGACCTTAGGCCATAATGGTGATAATGGTGGCTAGGGTTAAAGGTTTTAAGAAAATATATATGGATCGAACAACATGAACAAATAAATAAGTTATTGGACCCTTATTTTTTTTTAATGAAAGAATCAAATTAATTATCATTAATCACATCAAAAGACAAAGCATCCAAAGTACAATTCGGAGGAACCCCTATCCAAGAATGACTATCAGACAACGAACGAGATACTCTAGCCAACTCATGAGCAACTTTGTTCGCATATCGTCTAATAAAGATCCTTTAATTTTTAATGAAAAAGAAATTAAATCATATCCAATGGTTTAATTTAACAGGTTGTCACAGTAAATTTGTTACCTTACATAATACGTAGTATAAAATTACTAGTAGGCTTAAACACATTTTAGTCTATATTAATATAACTCTTTTTATTTTATATCACTTCTGCCAAACTATAATAATTGCTTTATTAACTGTATGTATATATTAAGTTGTATTCTATTGTTTATAGGTACTAGTTATTGAAATTATATATTCATTTAAAAAAATTAAAGTAAAAAATATGCCTAAATCAAACTTGTATTACTTTTTTCCCGTTTGTATAAATATATACGATAGTACATCCTTACAAAATAATAATCCAAAACCCTTTTAGCGCGCCCTTTTTACCCTTAAACTTCACAGGCTTGATACTACTTGCATGAAGGCTTCTTGCAAAATGTAATTAACATCCATCACTATAGGAAGCTAATTTATTTTAAAAAAAATACTACTCCGTATGTACTTAAGATGTTTTCTTTTGAACTGAAATTTGCTGATCTGGTCTGATCTGGTGTGGGACTGAACAGCCCGAAAGAAAATATCCTTAATAACGGATGTAGTAGTAATAATTAAAATGAATTAAATGCCTAAAAGAAAAGACGTCACTACTGCATCACGCTTACTTCAGGATATTACTGGGGACCCAGGCTCACGATATATGTGTGTTTATTTCATACTCCGTATTTTATTAATTATTCACGTTTGTTTTACTACTTTGTAGTAGTCTTTTGTAATTTAGTGCCAGAATAAGACTTGTTCTCCGTCTACTTGTTTTAGATTTTTTTGGATCATTGAGGTGTTTCAATGTTTGACTAATATTTTAAAGAAACGATTTTCAGCTAATTAATATTAATTGCCTGCTTTCATTATTATACGTAGTATTTTATTTATTATTCTGTTAAATTTAATTTGAAAAATTATAAATTCCGGTTTATTTAAACATTTTACTAATATAGAATGAAATATATTCACTAATCCGTGTTAGAATTGTAGCAAACGTAAAGCGAAAAACATTGCAACTAAAGAAAAGGAGAAATTATATATTTTTCACTAATAATTCATACTTACCTTAAATATTTCTTCAAATTAAAGTTTTTAACATGCATGTAATCTTTCGTTAAAGAAACTATTTTATTGTGGGTGAACTAAAAATGTACTGTTAGGAGATTGGAGGCTTTAAAAAATTATTAAGAGCAAATTATGAAGAGCTCGTTTGGTGACGTTGTTTTTCATCCGTCAAATATTTTATCGAACACGTAACTTTTGATTAGCACGTTGGATAGTGTAATAACAAGAAAAAGTGAGGTTATGATACTTTTATGGATGTATGGGCTGAATTTGCTGTAGAGCATCATCATAACCGGTTTTCATATAATTTCTTTATTTTATTAAAATGAATTTTAATTAGTAGTATAATTACTCATAAATTAGCAGAATCAAACAATTTAATCGATTCAGGTAGAACTTTATAAATTTCAACACTCTAACAGTCCTATATTTATAACCATTTATTATATCTTTTTTTTAAAACAAATTTATCATACGGAGTATCTTTTAAAGATGAGAGGTTTTCAAACATATAAAGTATATTTACATGCATCAAACATTTTCATGCACGGGAGGAGACGCTCTTCGTCCGCTTCTCCACTCTGACACTCTCCATCATCAGAAGATATCGTTAATTTCACCATTTTAATTAGGTCGTTGTATTTAACTTTTGTTTACCAATATAATTAGATCTAGACCCCAATCTGTACGTATGGATTAAATTGTGATCGGAGTGTAGTTTTTTTCCCAACTAAATTGTGATAATTTCTAAAACATTCGAATGTCTTTTGTCCCCTTTCTTTAATGGAAAAATTATCAGTTAATTACACTACTTTTAATTTTATGATCTGACCGATTATAATCAAAACTAGCTAAATTTAAATTTTCATTGTTTTTTTTTGTTTTTTGTCTTTTGACCAAAAATACAGTTGGGTCAAAGCATAAAATAGAATAATATACAGGGATCCACATGCGAGTGTCACATCATGTCTTATATTTTCATTTAAATTAAGACAAAAAGGATCATTTGGTGTACGTAATCGTTGGCGCTGCGGTTTAATTATCATTCTTTCAATAATTAACATCCAAACATTAAATCCGGATCATCTAAATATATATTCAACCCTATTTAATGCACTTAAAGTTTTAAAAGTAGAATCTGGACATTCACTAAACATCACAAAAATGTAATCTGTCCAATTTAAGGCAAATCCATTAAAATAATTCCATTAAATTCATGTCCATGGCGGATTGTTTATTACAGGGTGGTCGGTAGATTATAGACATCCTCTATCATGAGTTTTTTGTATACCGAGTACTAATACTAGGTTAAAACTATACCCACTTCTTGTTAATTTGGTTAATGTATGATAGTAGAAAAACTGTTTATACCATGTTTGACATTCACTGATTAGCGGACAATGGATTATGTTAACAACTTAAAATGTTTTCAATAATGAATTCAATTAACGAGTTTAACTAGCAGAAAAACTTGACGGATTGTCAAAAAATGTCTGATAATTTATCTGTTTGACCATACAATTAGTAGAGAATAACATACATAAAAAACTAATCTAAAGCGCTTTTATTTGTGTGGTTTCCATTACAACGATTCTGTCCCAAAATGCTTAGGTATGAAATGCTTTGGAAACTACTCTAATTAGAAAAACATGGTAAACGTGCAAATAGGGCAAACATAGTACAAATGATCCTACTCCGAAAGTGATGATCTCTCAAGAATTTTTGAAGAATTAATCCGAAATTAACACCAAAGATAGAGAGATTTATCATAAATAATACATTCCTCGAAGATCGTTAATAATACAACAATTCTCTACTCAATAATTAACCGATACATGTGAATTGTATTTCCCGTTTTACCCTTTCCAAATGCATTTCTAAGCATGGCGCCCAGGGGTCGATCAGTCCATTCGCGCCGCTACACTACGGTTTTCCATGACTCCAGGATCGGAAAAGCAGAGAAATAGTCAAAGTCAATGCCCGCCGGGCAGCTCGACTCCCCCGCCGTCCTCGGCGGCGGCGGAGGCAGAGAAGAACCGGAGCCGCCCACTCTCGCCGTCTGTTGCTGCTGCCTGCTCTGTTCCAACATGAAAGATGGCGTGTCCAGCGCGGGAAAGAACCCGGTCGGCTGCGGCCTGTTGACGGCCCGGTGAGGCTCGGGTTTCAGGATCGGGCCGATCTGGCCCGGTCCGCCGTGCTTAAATCCGGTGACCTGTTGCACCATCTGCCGGAAGTTGGCCGCGTCGGCGGTGATGTAAGTGGTGGTGGCGCCCCTCGACGCGCGTGACCTCCGCTTCTTCGCCTTCCCGGTGACGCCCAAGCTGCCCCGCTTCGAGCCCGCCGTCTCGTACTCCGACCCGCCGGAAACTGTCGGGCCGGAAGCGCTGCAGGGAGTTCCCACCCGCGCCTCCTCCGGCTTAAAAATCTGCATACCAGCCTCGAAGGGGAAGCCCTCCATGACCGCCTCCGGCGCATCAGACATGGATTTCTGCAACGCTTGGGTCAGCGTCTCTGTTTCGCGGGAAAACGCGTCGGAAAACCAAGAATCGGAAAATCCGGCGAAGCGAGACGCCCAGGGCTCCAACGGGGCCAAATTATCAGAAGACGCCATTTTTATCGGACCCTTCACCTCCAATTTCTTTTTCCGGGACTAAAATCAAGGAATCTAAACTGAAACAAAGCAAAAGATCGATTCTTTACAACAGTCGAATTCAGTTCACACCCAGAAACCAGAAAAACAGGGTGATGATTATGAGAGTGAGATCCAGAGATATATAGAGAGAGAGGGACGGGAGATGGAGAAGAGTGGAGGGTGAGCAGAAAGGCGATGAGAGGCAATAAATAGGGCGGTGAAGAAGGATGAAGCGCGTTTATGGGGCCACGCGTCAACAAACTGTTGTACGGACAGGCTTTCTCCCTCCCTCTCTATATATGATATCTCTTCCCCAAACAAACCATAGTCTGCTCTACAGTTTATTGTTTGACTGTGGACTGTGAAGTCATAATTCTTTCTTAAAAATTTATTTCATGTTATTTTATGAAAACGGGGGGGAAGCCGATAGGACTGGGTTTTTAATGGTGCAGTTGAATTTGTGATCTCATTGTTTATGTTACGAATAGAAATACCTCCATGAATTTGGTTTGAATTAGCCAAATGGGGGCGGTGAAGAAAAGAGAGATGATTAGAAAGGATAACATCATAACACCTAATTAATCACAATCTGAGGATTCCAAACATCGGATGGTTAACATGAAAAATGTAAATTAAATTTTAATCACAAGTCGGTACATAATGAATGATACTTTAACCTAGATACCGATGGTAATTTTAACCGATCTAATTTACACTATGACTTCTTTTACTATCTCCTATTTTTGGGTTTAATAGTTGAAGTTTTGCACACCTATTTTTTAATAGAAATTGCTCACAACTAAATATGGAAAAAAGAATAAATAAAAGGGAAATTTATGATTAACCTCTTCTGGTTTGATCATAATTACTAGTACAACCTTGTAATTTTAGATTCCAGCTATATACCCCTTGAACTTTGATTCTATATGTTGTCTCCCCCTTCCATCAAAATCCTACTAAGAAAATAAGCGACTCATTAAATAGATATTGTTTTGACCAATATACCCTTATTAAGGATTATTTGTTCAATACACTCATTACTTTTTCTAATACTACGTATGGAGTATATATTTGTCGCTTCAATTCTTCACAACTCACTTGGTTTAGGAGTAGGACGTAATCCCCACAACAGAACAATGTTTTGAAAATTAACTTCCTTAAATTAAATTTTTGGAGTTGCACTAGAAGCCAAACGACCTGCTTTCTGGTTCTCATATCAATGATTCTCCACTAGCCCAACTAAGATAAAGAATATTGATGTAGTTTTGAAGTTTATTTTCATCAGTTAGACTGAGTGGGGTTGACTGCATGCCAAAATCAACTCCTAGACGATTGCACGCCTCAACAAATATGCATCATGTCAACTAAGGTTCTTCAATTTTCCTTTAATGTAAGAATGAGTCTATGAAGTTGGAGATAAAAAAGTAAAAAAGGAGAAAAACATATAAACTAAGCATGTAGCAGTGATGCATGTGAAACGAAACCATCAATTCACTACTAGAAAACTGTCTTACAGTGACACTTTTTTGGTGACACTATTTCAAAAAGTGTCACTGATAGACGACATAACTCGTTACTAACACATTAGTGTCATTAATTTGTGACACTAGAGCATCAATGAATACCAATGACACTAAATAAAAAATTAACATTACTTTGTCTCCAATTATTCCCTCCTAAACCTAATTATTTCCCTCCAAGTATTCCCCCAATTTATTTTGCTCCAAAAAATAGACTAAATACAATTGAAAACACAAAATAAAACAAAAAACCCAATCCCTCTGGTCTCACGGTCAGCCTTATACTCAAATTTTTACGCCGACGCCCCCTTCACACCGCCGATGGCTCCCAAGCGGCTGCTTCAAAGTCCAGTCACCTGCTTCTCCTTTTCTCTAATTTATTCTGCTGCTAATTGTGTCCATCGAGCAATGGCGACCGATACCGGTGCAATGGAAAGCGGGAAGCCTGGTTCTAATGGTGAGGAGACTTCAGTGGTGCTAGGGTTAAGACTTTGGCGTCTTCAGCTTTTTCTCGCTACTTCGGCTTTTATTTCCTTCTTCTTTTCTTCTTGATTGCTCGGTTGTAAAAAACATTGCCATCGTTGCTTCTCCTCTTTCAACCTCGCTCATTTGATGCTACGACGTAGCCGCCACAATAGACGAATCCATATCTGTGGTGTGGTTTTGGAACTACGGCGATTGACACTGTTTCAGATCTGTGATGGTATCTAGAGGCAGGGGTTGGACCGGATAAGGTTTGGGCAGTGGTTAGGCAGGGTTCCGCACTTCCGGGTTGTTCCATTGAAGGAAAGGGGTAGTGTCGGGTTTGGGTAGGGCATTAGCGGTAGCAGGGCAGTTGTTAGGGGCAGCAATGGTTGGGGGAAACTGGGCAAGGGCGGGGCTGTGGCAAATTCGCTACCTTAGGCTAGACAAGAGAGCCGCTACAAGAAGACAACTTTATTCAAGCTTCATTTTCTCAGTGAAAGATCACTCCAACCCGCTCATTGATACAGTTTTGCCTGGTTTACACACATCATGTATGGTGTACTAATTTTTTCATTGAAATTCTCTATTTAACTGAATTATATTGATGCTTGTTCATGTTTACTGCGCAGATACATGGAAGGGTCCTTTTATGCAAATCCAGTATTGGATGTGCCAACAACTGAGCCATCCCTTACTGAACTGTTAGTACCTTTTCTTTACCTTTCAGCATATCGATATGGACCATATTATTGTCTCTTAATCAACTTTCTTAATTTCTATTAAACAAATCAGTGAAATCTTACCCTCTCATCTTTGAATTGCGGCAGTGATGTCTGTCACATTTTGATGCTTCTAAAGGTTATAATTTTATTCATGTCCTAAATATTTTCTTCTTACCTGTCTAGATATCCATCATATTGCAGACCTCGTCCAGAACTTGAGATTGGTACGTTTTAAATATAAATTCCAAATTTGAGTTTTAGCATTGCACTTTTGTTGTGTATTTCACGGTCCAAAGTTTCTTGATATTGGACTGTAAACAAAGGTACTGATATGTAGGAATTATATATTGTTAAATATTTTAAGGAGAAATTAGACTTATTAGTATCCTGCATATCTCTACAAGAGTTTTTCTTGGCCTAGTCTCATAAATCATATACAAAAGGACATTGGAGTTTGGACAATTCGGAGTTTGGAGTTTGGACACCTGTGATGATTAAGCTGGTAATGGCATTGCTTTGGAGCTACGAATGCAGGTTTGTGTTAAAGGCACTGAAACACGTCTTTACCAACTTGGAAGTTCAGTTTCACACGTCTTTACCAACTTGTATGCTCATGGACAACCCATATAACCGGGTGCCACATTTTCTCACAGCCTCAACAGCCTTAATAACGTTGAAGAAATATAGAGGCAGGCACGTGGGGTAAGCCCAATGATTCCCAACTTGGATCAAGGAGTTATCAACAACTTTCATTACTTTTTAGCATAGAGCGGAGTTGAAGTAAGTTCTTATTGTTCTTAATCATTCAGTTGAGTGATATATTTTGTAGTATTAAAATAAATAAATCCCAAAAATTACACATCCTATTAGTTATATATTAGTGCAAGTGTTTTAATTCTTGAGCAGTTTTATACTTACATCTATACTTCTTCCTCTTTAGCAACCAGCAACAATATTTTATTTGGTAATCCATTTCTTCTTGCACCATATGCTTTATCTAAGGCAATTCTGAATGGTGTTAATTATGCATTTTGTTCAGGTTTGTTTTAATTTAAAATCAGGTTTGTTTTCATTGTTACAGTTTTTGTACTTGGAAAATGTTATCTGATGCCAAATGAATAAATTTGCAGATTGGTGTTGTCTCTTAGTGGCTGCAAAAGCATCTTATTCAGGTGAAAAAATTCTATCATGTTGTCTTACATGGGTTTTACTGCTTTGGAAAGTAGATAAAATGTGATTTTTTTTACTTTTAGAGATTAACCTTTCTATCATCTCGATCTTTTAATGAATGAGATAAACATCTTCTAGGTTCTCCATAAAATTATTTACTTATGGAGTGTCATCATTCCCATCGTATTTTCTCATAGGATCACACATTTAATGAAATTAGACCACTTCAAGACTAAGATATGGTACCTCGAGGTACCATATTTCTACAAAGAAAGAGCTCTTTCTTTCACGATAGTCTTTTTCTTTTCTTATTACATAAAATAAGGCATTTAGGACCATATTTTTTAAAAACAGTATGTTTGTTATGTTTCTTACTTACTTTGTCATGTTTTCTTTCAGATATTGAAGAGGCAAAATATCTGAGAAGATGAAGGAATATGACGCTATTTGTCTAAAGTTCTATTATAGGAAAGCTATTTTTATGGCCATATAGGTTCAAATAAATAAGTTCATCTGTCATGCATGGTTCTTAAAAAGTTACAACATTTTACGTGAAATATATACATCCAAGTGTTATGATATATTTACCCCCGAGTTAAAAGTAGTATAGTAGCAGTTTGGATCTATTGTAGCATTTGTGTAGTTATTAAAAGTAACATATTTTGGTTAATTCCTAGTTTATTATGTAGATAACTTAATGTTGTTGTTTGCTTTTACAGAATTGGACAAAAGCGTTCATTGAAGTTTGTAGCAATGGGATTGAACAAAGGGCTTATTGATGTACTAATGACTATATTTCTATTTTAGAGGATTGACACTCATTTTTAAAACGTGACTTAGCTTGGTCATTTTGATGAATTGTAATGGATACTGGTTAATGTTGTTTTAAGACTTGGCTCTTCAATGTCAATGATCATGGAATGACTTTGTTGTTTGTATTGTAATGCATATTAAGTGTTAATAGTCAATGTATGTAATGATTAATGATACCATTATGTAATACAGAGTATTGTAAATGATAATGTGTTATAAATAATAATGATACTAATGTATCGTAATATGTTATGATGTAGTGGTGTCACCTTTCTATATGATAATAATGAGTCACAAAATTAGTGATACATCGTTGTCACCATTTTGGTGACACTTACCCGTGACACTAAACTTAGTGTCGCCATGTCCGACCTACTGTGACAAATGTGTTGTGTCACGGAAACTTTCTGTGACACAAAAAAAGTGTCACTATAAGGCCTTTTTCTAGTAGTGATTCATTGTTTGAATACTATTTGGAATAAACCTGAGAAGCTCTTGTTTTACACTCCGT